GCAGGGACGCGCGCCGACGAAGGGATGAAGTGCATCGCTCCGCTGCAACCTACCCTCATCAGAAAGCATTCCCCTGTTTTGTGTCGGGCCGAATTGACGACTGACGCGAGCGGGTGCTGGCCAGCTCGTATTGCGTCCACTGCGGACGAGTGGAAGGGGGAGGGAGAAGGATGGAGCACGGGAGGGATTAGCAGGAGGGAGGCTTGGAGCAGAAAACACGTGGCAGAACCAGACGGGCTGATCGGGCGGGTAGACCCAAACGGGCGGGTCGGTACGCGGGCCCAGGCGGCCAGGTCGAGCAGGCGGGTTGCTGAAGCGTGAGTCTTGCATAAATCGCGAGGAATTTCCGAGCGATAGCGCAATGTCCAAGTAAATCGCGAGAAAAATTAGAGCGAGAGCGCGATTCCTGAGCATCGAGGGTGCAGCGTTTGAATAAATTGTGAGGAAGTCCCACGCGAGAGCGCGGTTCCTGCACGAGTTGTGAGAATGTCCCGCGCGAGAGCGCGATTTTGAAATAGCTTGTGAGGAAGTATCAGGCGGGAGCGGTTGTTGTTGTAGTTCGGGGGCCAAGGGACCAATTTGACCCTCAAGACTTTCCCTGATGAAAAACCGGGTGCGAGTGCCCCCGGAGGAACACTTCAATTGGAAAAACAAATGTGCGCCAGATGCGGGAGGATCAACAAGAATTATTCAGAAGTGAAAATTCAGCAGCAATCATTTTAAGACTGTTCGCTTTTACCTGCTCGCGTGCCATTCAGCACGTATGTCCCAAACCCTCGGTACCCGCCCTCTTCGTCTTCGATCGTACCCCTCTTGGGGGAAAATCTTCCCTACCTGCCGCGTGTAGGGGGAAGGAGGGGAGGAGTGAAGAGACAAGGGGGGGGGAGAAGGATGGAGCACGAGAGAAATTTGCAGGAGGAGGGTTAGGAGCAGGAGCACAAGCGGCAGAACCAGCGTGGCGTGTCGGGCGAGCGGTTCCTAACGGGCAGGTCAGGCGGGCGGGAACAGACGACCAGGTCCAGCGGGTGGGCAGCTAAAGCGTCGACCCATCATGAAGGAATTTTCGACCAATACAGCGATTCCCAAGTACATCGTCAGGAGATCCAAAGCGAGAGCGTGAGCTGCAAGTCTTGGGGGCACGGCGCCACAATAAATTGTGCGGAAATACCATGCGAGACCGCGATTCCTGGATAGATTATGAGAAGTCCCGCACGAGAGCCTCAATTTGAAATGCAATCTGTGCTGAAGTATCAGGCGGGAGCCGTTGTGATTGTAAACCCGGGACCAGGGGCGCAGTTCGGTGACCACAAACTTTCCCTGATCAAAAACAAGGTGCGAGCCCCGGGAGGAGCACGTTCAACTGCAAAACCTACAGAATAGTCACGGGAGGAATGAACAAGAAGCATTATACAGAAATGAGCATTCAACAACCAACAAGTCACAGCAACAATCAGAAAACAACAGCAACAATCAAATGACAGGCCGAAAACAGAAGCAACAACCGAAACCTTCCGCCGAGACCTTTCGCGACACAAGGCAAGGGCGTCAGGCCACCTGCATGTGCGCCAGTGCCGCCCCGCGGCAGGACTCCCCCCCGAGCCCTGGCCGCAGCACCGGCTCTCTGCTCTCCATGATCTGCGAGCCCATCCCTGCCTCGTAGTGTTAGGTCGGGTATGTCATCCTACAGGCGGATTCTGGAGGAAGCACAAGGAAGTCGACAAATACTCAAAAATACTCCCCAGGCTACTTTCTGATTCATGAATATTTCTCCTGCAGGGGGGCATGCCCGACTCAAACATAGTGCGACAAACTCTGTACATATCCACTGCCCCCTGGCCAGGCCCATCCTGAACCCAGCAGTGGTGTACACCCTGCGAAATGCTTAAGAAATCATGGGTTAAGAAATTCATAGTCTCAGAACTTGAATAAAAACCCTACATTTTTATTAAAATCTTAGGATTTACATTGAAACGTTAAGAATAATCGAGACTCTGGCCGAAAACTTGGGTTTTCTTAAGCATCGCCTAAGGTCTACACGCCACGCCCTCCTGGCTTCGCCAGGAGGGCGTACACACAGGTCCTGGGCCCAGGAAGGGCCCGGCCAGGGGGCAGAGGGTACGCACAGATCTCTTCGCCCGACCTCAGGGCCCCCTCTCCGCAGCCGCCCTCATCCGAGACGCAGCAGAATCGAGGCACGATCGGACCGACAGAAGCCCGAAATCTCTGAGAAATCGGCCGGCTTGGAGGATGTATCTGGCGCCGCGGCCTTCTTAGAGCGTTCCGGAGCGATCTGCGAGCGTTCCGGAACGCTCTGGAACGGGTTCATTATCGTCCTAGCCTGAGGTCTAGCATGTCCTCCTGCAGGAGGATTTGGGACGAGAACTCAAGAATTGTCAAAAATCACTCGAAACAAAAAATAATCCAAAATCGTCCCCGGACTATGCTTACACGATGTTTGAATTCAACCTGTAGAGCTAGGTCAGGCGTGTCCCCCTATAGGCGGATGTTCGACGAAAAGAATATCCGAAAAATGTCAAAAAACTGCGCAACAAAAATATTCAAAAAAACGTTCCCTGCTTATTGTTTGACTGTGTTTTTGGATATTCCTCCTGCAGTATAGGGGCGGGCCCGACTCAGCTGTCGAGGGACATGCCCGATTTGCTCCCTGCCCCGACCGCTCCCCCCTCCCGCCCTGGTGAGGACTCGCCAGGGAGGGCAGCCGGCCCAGGCCTGCCCCGCACGGAGCGAGCCCCCGCGCCAAGGCGGCAGGAGAAGTGCGCTCCTGCTATCGACTCCGACCCCCCCCGCCTCCGCGCTCCTCGGAGGCCTCCCGAGAGGGGCTTGAGCAGAGTTAGGTCAGTCACGTCCCCCTACAGGCGGTGTTTGACGAAAACAACTTTTAGAAAAATGGTACTGGAGAAAAAGAACCAATCGGACCCTCTTTAGGGCTATAGGGCTATAGGGCTACAGGGCTATAGGGCTATATGGGCTATCAGGCTATAGGGCTGTAGGGCTGTAGGGCTGTAGGGCTGTAGGGCTGTAAGGCTGTAGGGCTGTAGAGCTGTAGGGCTGTAGGGCTATAGGGCTATAGGGCTACAGGGCTATAGGGCTATAGAGCTATATGGGCTATAGGGCTACAAGGCGGGCTATAGGGCTATAGAGCTATAGGGCTATACGGCTATAGGGCTATAGGGCTGTAGGGCTATAGGGCTATAGGGCTGTAGGGTTGTAGAGCTATAGGGCTGTAGGGCCGTAGGGCTATAGGGCCGTAGGGTTATAGGGCTATAGGGCTATAGGGCTATAGGGCGACAGGGCTATAGGGCTATAGGGCTATAGGGCTGTAGGGCTGTAGGGCTATATGGGCTATAGGGCAATAGGGCTATAGGGCTATAGGGCTATAGGCCTCTAGGGCTATAGGGCTATAGGGCTATAGGGCTATAGGGCTATAGGGCCATGGGGCTATAGGGCTATATGGCTATAGGGCTATGGGGCTACAGGGCTACAGGGCTATATGGGCTATAGGGCTATAAGGCTACTGGGCAATAGGGCTATAGGGCTATAGGGCTATAGGGCTACAGGGCTATAGGGCTATAGTGCTACGTGGCTACGGAGCTATGGGGCTGTAAGGCTGTAGGGCGATACGGCTGTAGGGCTATAGGGCTGTAGGGCTATAGGGCTGTAGAGCTATAGGGCTATAGGGCTGTAGCGCTATAGGGCTATGGGGAGGGCTAGAGGGCTAGAGGGCTACAGGGCTGTAGGGCTATAGGGCTATAGGGAGGGCTATAGGGCTATAGGGCTATAGGGCTATACGGCTATAGGCCTCTAGGGCTATAGGGCTATAGGGCTATAGGGCTATAGGGTTATAGGACTATAGGGCTATAGGGCTATGGGGCTATAGGGCTACATGGCTATAGGGCTATAGGGCTACAGGGCTATAGGGCTATGGGCCTGTAAGGCGATAAAGCACCCAGGCACCCGAGCACCCCCAGGCACCACCGGGCACCCCCAAGCACCTCCAGGCACCCCTGAGCACCAGGGCACCTGGACACACCTGGGCGGGCCACCGAAATCGGCGGTCCACCTCACCTAACCATATGAATCCACGAGGACACCTACAGGAGCAAGCTCTGATTGGAGAATAATCGGCCCTCTCGGAAGGCTCGGAAGGCCTCCGGCCTTCCGAGAAGTTCTCTCAGCCCTCCTCGAAGACGCTGAAAACTTCCCAGAAGGCCAGAGGGCTTCTGAGAAGCCCCGCCACCTTCTGAGAAGGTCCTCTCATTAATACTTTAAAGGCTTCAAGAAAAGGAGACGAAGAAGAAGAAGAAAAACAAATAAATAAAAAACGGCGCGCGCGCGGCGCTGCACCCTCCTCCCTGGCGCGCGGAGCGCGCCAGGGGCGGCGCCAGAGGCGCCGCCGGGGGAGGCCCAGCGCGGATCCAAGAAATCCGCGCGAAGCGCCAAAAGCTGATGTTTAGGCCGTTGTTTCTTCTTCTACCCTTGGGCGCGCCGCCGAATCTGGTTTGGGGGTCACAACTCGGGTCTCCGGCGGCCGTTCGGGACGATCCCGGCACCCCCGGGACGCTCTCGCCGAGGCGCAGCCGCTGGGACGCATCCCGAGGCTGGGACGCTGGAACGCTGAACGCTGGAACGCTGCAGTCTGGGACGCTGGAGCGCTGGGGGCTGGAACGCTGGAGCGCAGCCACTGGAACGCTGGAGCGCTTCTCCACCCAGCTCTCCAGTGGCCGCTCGGGACGATCTGGGCACCCCCGGAACGCACTCGGCGAGGCGCGGCTGCTGGCAGGCCTCCCGAGGCCGGAAAACCGCCGAGAACCGACGAGAACGTCTGAGAACCTCGAGCCTCGAGCCTCGAACCTCGAATCTGCGAGGCGGGGACTGCTCCAAGCGCTTCTCCACCCTCGCTCGCTGCCCGCGTCCGCTGCGACCGCCTTCCTGGGAGGCCCGGGCTCCTGCCGTGGGGGGCGGCGGGCGCCCGCCGAGGCGGCCTCCCCGGCTCGGGGCGTTCCCGGCGGCGTCGACTGCGGGCCCGGTGGGGGGGGGGGGAGGCAGGGAGGGAGGGAGGGGAGGCAGGAAAAGGAGCGAGGGAGGGAGGGAGGGGAGGGGAGGGAGAGGAGGGAGGCAAGCTAGGTGCGCTCGCGTCATATCTGACGTCCTCCTACCCCTCCCTCCCATCCCTTACCATGGCGCTGATTTTCTCTATCCGCGGACGCGTGTCGTAGCGGACCTGTGGCTCCGCGCGCGCGTGCGTAGTGGGTGGTGGTGCGCGTGCGTGCGTGCGTGCGTGTGTGCGTGGTGGTGGTGGTGGTGGTGGTGGTGGTGGTGGTGGTGGTGGTGGTGGTGGTGGTGGTGCTGGTGGTGGTGGTGGGTGGTGGTGGTGGTGGTGGTGCTGGTGGTGGTGGTGGTGGTGGTGGTGGTGGTGGTGGTGGTGGTGGTGGTGGTGGTGGTGGTGGTGGTGGTGGTGGTGGTGGTGGTGGTGGTGGTGGTGGTGGTGGTGGTGGGTGGTGGTGGTGTGGTGGTGGTGGTGGTGGTGGTGGTGGTGGTGGTGGTGGTGGTGGTGGTGGTGGTGGTGGTGCGGCGCGGTGGTGGCGGGCGGATGGGCGCGCGAGAAAGAGGCCCGCGCTGGGGCGAGAACGCCATCCTGAACGACGGAGGCCAAACACCGATCCGAAAATGAGGCCCACGCTGCAGCGGGAGCACGATTCGGAACGATTCGGGAGCAGAAATGAGGCCGGCGCCTCAGCGAGAGCAGCATTTTGAAAAAAAACGCAGGCGAAAACCCGTTTCCCGGGAATCCTGCGTGTAAAAACACAATACGCAGGGGGGGTCGGCCATCTTCGGGACGCCATCAGGGGAAGTGGGAGAGTATTTTCATATTGTGTAATTGCGGAGGGAGCAGGAGGAGGAGGGAAGGAGTGGAGGGAGGGAGGGGAGGGAGGGAGCGAGTCCGCGGGCACAGCCTCTTTCGCAGAGCTGCCCGGCAGGAAGCGACGCCGAGAAGCCCTGGCCCCGGCCGCCGCTGGACGACCAGGGAGGGGAGGGAAAGGGCACCCGAGGGCCCCCCCCCCGACGGACCGCCGCGCGACGACTCCCGAGAGATCGCCTGGGCAGGAGCCCACGGGTCGGCTGCCGACGCCCTGGAGCCAGCGCCTGGGGTTGCCCGTGGCCCCCGCAGCGCAGGCGTCGGGCTGGCCTCTCGACAGCGTGAGACAGCGCAAAAGGTGTGTCACACGTCTTGCGGAGCTGAGCGCGGCGCGCTCGGCCACCGGTGTTACGACTGCGACCCTGCCTCCGCCTCCCTCGAAGAGGATGAGCAGGCCAGCCTTCCCAGATGCTGCTCGGCGGCGCGGGCAGCCTCTGCGGGGGCAGGGCACCTCTCGTCTTAGGGGGCTCGGATTGGGACATCGTTCCTCTCCCGAACGGTCCCCCTCGTGTTCCTGTGAGGCTGCCGCCTCCCGCTCTCCCACCCCCGTGTCCTGGACTGGGGCCCCCCTCGAGGCACCTGGGGCCCCGTGCTGTTCACCAACTGTAGAAGGAAGAGCGTGGTCTTGCCCCGAGGCTGCCAGACGTGGCTGGAGTGCAGTCGCGACCACTGCCGATGGCTGGCCTCTCCAAGCGAAGCTCGGGGGGCTGCCAGGCCAGTTCCAGACTGCTCCAGGCGAACGTTGGGCTGGGTTGGAGGCCATGCGCGGTGGGACCCCCCAACCTCGCCATAACTAGTGTTCACTCAAGTTGTGTTGGGGAGGCGTAGATATGGGATCCCGACCTCGAGTGGCCTCTCGGCG